CCACAGCATGGCTGCAGAAAAGGCAGTGAGCAATTCAGCACCACAGCATGGCTGCAGAAAAGGCAGTGAGCAATTCAGCCCCACAGCATGGCTGCAGAAAAGGCAGTGAGCAATTCAGCACCTCAGCATGGCTGCAGAAAAGGCAGTGAGCAATTCAGCACCTCAGCATGGCTGCAGAAAAACACCTTCAACTGCTGGGAACAGCAGCTTGTGTACAAAACCCTACAGCACTGGGATGAGGGAGCACTATCCCTTACAGTCAGTCCAGAAGGGACAGGATGTGGGTTAGGACCTCTACCATGGAAGGCAGCAGTGCTCCCATGTCCACTGCATTTCAGAGTTTGTACACTGCAGCTGCTGTGTGATACTCTGAAACAGAGATCCTCAAGAAACAACAAAAAGGAGGAGCAGCAGTAAATAAATAGAACAAAGGAACCAGAAAAAAAGAGGAACCAGAAAGAAGAGGGAAAATTACTTCTCATTTGCTATGACCTAAATGCCAAATGTTTCACCTTGATTCTTAGGATGCTCTTTTTAACACACATGCCAATCAAGTTAATGATTAGGGAAGGCAAGAGAAGCAAAACCAGTTTCAACTGCTAAGACACAAAAAGCAATCAGGAACCCTGAGTGGTCCCCACCAGAGATCACCACATGAACTAACACATAAAACAACCAAAGCCCAACATCAAGAAGCTTTAACAGGATGAGATCCCATGATTTGAAACAACATCAATGTTCAGAGAGAAATGAAACACAGAAGCAAGAGAGCCCATCTTCAATTCCTGTTTAGGAATCCCCAAATGCAAAGTGTTCTGTGAAAATTTGGGTTCAAGAATAATTTTCATTATGTGGATATATTTCAAGAGGGCTTCACCAAGCTCTCAAAATAAAGTGGGGCATTGGAGGAAGAGATGGGATCACACAGTTAATTCCTGATCAGCTGAGTGCAATAGGGGCTGATGCAATCCTTGGGAAAGTTGGGTGAGGAAGTACAGGAAGTGTACAGGAAGTCAGGAAAGTGCTGATATCACTGTAAATGGCACAGATTAAATATCACTGAAAAAAAAAAAAACCCAAAGCAGGAGCTGGTGAATTATATTGAATAAAAGCTGCAGGAAAAGGTCCTTGGCTGAGAAAAGAATGAAAACATATCCAAGGAGAGAAGGTAACAGAGGCAAAAGAGCTTGATTTATATGGTCTAAGGAGGGGAAGATTTCTCTAAACATTTCCCAAATGTTTACCTGGGAAAGGGGAAGAATAAATACCAAGGGATGATAGCTAGTATTTTAAGAGCTGAACTCTGTAAATTAGAGGAAGGAAACAATCAGATACAAATAAATTTAGCCTGGATATTAGAAGACCATTTCTAGCTATCCTAGGAGTGAGATCTTGGAGTAGATGAGACAGGAGGCAATGACCCCAAGCCATCTGGAAACAGGAATCACCGAGCCAAAGCTGGAAGGTATTCCCAGGGGTTGTATAATGAAATAGAGATATTCTCAAACAAAATAAATTGTTTGCAATATGAGTCCCTGGGGATTGTGTCAGTAGGGCAGAGCAAAGCTGTTCCTTAGGGCTACCATGAGAGAGCCACGAAGGAAATTGTTTTGTTACTTGGTCTGTAATTTGGCCTCTGGGTTTTTCCCTTCCTTTGAAGTTAAAACTGACTAAACATGGAAGGGAAGTACGGTATGTTACTGCCTTGCCTGGTTGGTGTGTCCTGCTAACACACCCAGAGCTGAACTGTTTTCCAGATCTGGGATCAGAAGGAAATTCTTCCCCACCACCCATCCAGCAAGCACTGTGGGATGGAGCAAGGAGCTGCCCTCCCATGCAGTGCAAAGAAGGTGACACCTGGGGGCTCTGACAAAGTTCCACAACACACCAGCACCGTGTCACAGCTGTCACACCCACTTTCCCACCCTCCAGGTGTTTCTCACACTCATAAGGACACACTAAGGATCTTTAGTTCTGGGTTCCCACACTGAAGGATCACACTGGTGGATCCTTCAGTGTGGGAATCCAGAACATCCCTCTGGCTGTCCTGGACAGCCCAGACCCCTGCCAGGGGGCTCAGAGACCCTGGCACAGAGCCCAAGGTTCCCCTGTGGGTTTGATTATGACCCGTGGAGCAAGTTACCAACCTTAGATGAAGATCAGCAAGCCACAACAGTTTAGGTAGAATAATAGTGAAGTTATCACATGGTGGAAAAGTAGATTTTGGGATTTTTGCTATGGGGGTTCAGGGGGCAAGATGGAGGGATCTGGGTGTGTCCAGCCTTTCTCCTTCTTCTTCTTGGCCTCCATCTTCTGCTGTGATGGTGGCACTTACAGATTGGTTTAGAGTAGAAGCTCGCTGTCTAACATAGGTGATAGGTATTGGAAAGTAATACCTAAGTAAACATGGTAAATGTAAAGTAAACATTGTATATGTAAAGTAAACATGGTATATGTAGTTTTTAGTATAAAGACATAACACTGCCCCAGGGGCAAGCAAGAGTGCCTGGAACTGTCCTGCTGGATGGACCTCGGCAGGGCAGGAGACAATTTTTTATAGGTAAGACACAATAAACAACCTTGAGACAGAGTACTGAAGATCTCCAACTCATTCTTCAAGTGCTCGGGCTGGGAAAAGAGACTTTTAACAATCTCGGGGTCGCAGCGACCCAGAAAGGCCCCGAGACTTCAGAGCTTTCCACAGGCACAGGGAAGGGTACCTCAGCTGTTATTTTAGCAGTGCCAAGTGCCCACAGGCAGTGCCCAGCCCAGCCTGTCCCAGCAGTGCCCCTGCCCACAGCCACACTCACACACTGGTAGAACTCGCGGTAGCGGCCGCGGGTCATGGCCGGGTTGTCCCTCCTGTAGACCTTGGCAATGTGGTAGCGCTTGATGTTGGTGATCTTGTTCATGGCCAGGTAGCGAGCAAAGGGCACCTGAGACAGAGCTAAGGATGGACACCAGAAGGGAACATCCCCCTGTTATCAGTCACAGGCAGTGCTGGGTCCTCACTGCCTCCCACCCAGCAAAGAACTGATAAGACACAGCTGGATTTATCCCAGCTCCCCAAGGTCTGCACATGCTGCCTCCAAGTGTCCCTCAGGATTATTCCAGCAGCACCTTGGGCTGGATCTCGGTGTCACCTGGGCTGTGTACTGCAGCAGCCTGCTCTGGGAACCCTGCCCGGAGAAACCACACTCATACAGATCTTCTGTACTTCCACACACATGGGGCATGAAGCTGTGTCAGGGGAGGGTCAGGCTGGATGCCAGGAAAAGGTTCTTCCCCCAGAGGGTTGCTGGGCACGGGCACAGGCTGCCCAAGGAAGTGGTTGTGGCACCAGACCTGAGAGAGCTCAAGGAGCATTTGGAAAATGCTCTCAGTGTCCTGTGCAGGGTCAGGAGTTGGACTTAATGATCCTTGGGGTCACTTCCAACTCAGGATACTCCATGATTCTATGCATTCCTTCACCAAACAGAAGCAATGCAGAGTAAATAACCAAGCAAGGGTTCTGCACCGCTGAACCACACTGCCTGCTCATGCTCTCCTGTCAGTTTGGGGTCCCTCCTCCCCCTCAGGACAGTGCTACCCCAAAAGGAAAACTGCCAAGGCCCCTCAGCACCAGCTGTGGCAGGATACTGTCAGGTCATAGCGCAGGGACAGCAGCTCTCCTCCCTGATCCTTTAGATCATAGATGAGCTTCGAGTCTTCACCGTATTTCCCTGTCAGTGTCTCCTACAACAAAACACACGAACAAACAGCATCTTCAGTGACAGGCACCAGCCCCAGAGCACACAGAAAACAAGGAAAGGGAGAATGCCTAGGAAGGGAAGGAAACTCAGCTGTCAGCACTCTGAGCTGCTCAGCCAGCCTGCTGTGTCCTCACCCACCTTCAGCTCGAACACCGGCGTGTCGATGACCTCGGCCCCGTGGCGCTTGAAGCAGGAGATGATGGCTTTGAAGGCCCTCTCACGGATGGCCATCTCCTTGGGGCCAAAATCCCGGGTGCCCTGCGGTGAGGGAACAGCAGGAGCAAAGCACACTTTGGGTTAGAGGCACGACACGAGAAGGATGCTGCCATACTGCTAACAAAGCCAGAGAGAGCAGGTCCAGACACCAGATATTGGGAAACAGCAGTAAAAACCTTGGGAAACATCAGGACACAGCTCAGACAGAGTCTGCCATGGTCTGCAGAGTGAAACCTAAGTCAGGAGTTTCACAGTACAGGAAACAAAGGGATAAAACAGATCCAGCAGTCAGAGTTCAGTGCTTTTGAGCCTGACAGTGCAATCAGGACCTGTCCTGAGCTCTAATGCAGACCAGCCAGACCCCTGCCCAGTGAGCCACCCCAAAGGTGGAAACAGAGGACAGACCTGCTCTGAAACTGTGCAACAACCATCAGCTCTGCAATTTCCAAACACAAAGAAAAAATCACCTTTCAAAATGCAACACCTGTGAAATGTCTGTCTATATTCACAGGGCCATGCACCCTTTTCATTTCTTTGGTGTCAAGGATCACAGAATTATTTCAATCACCACCTTCATGCTCTCAGAAAAATCATTGTTATTAGCTAGACCTCCACCTTCCACTTCATAAAATCTGTTAGGCAGGAGGAAGCACTCTCACACACAGATCACTCAGATGGCCTTCAGCTGCCTTTGACAAGCCTGAGACAGGCTGGAAACACAACTGAGCTACAAAATCCCCTTCTTCCTACTTTAAAACAGTGAAATACCCTTTCACTTTCCAGGCATCACACCACAATTACATTCAACAAAACAAATCATAAAGCAAATGGACAAAGGGACAGTTTTGAGACTTTAAAATTATGGGAATAAATTCTTCCCTGTGAGGTTGCCCAGAGAAGCTGTGGCTGCCCCATCCCTAGAAGTGTCCCAGGCCAGGCTGGATGGGGCTTGGAGCAACCTGGGATAGTGGAAGGTGTCCCTGCCATGGCAGGGGGTGGAACAAGATGAGCTTTAAGGTCCTTCCAACCCAAAGCACCCCATGTGTCTATGACTTTCTATGTCACTGGCATCACCATAGCCTGGCTTGTTTGTGAACAGATTCACAACTGCCTCCACAGCACAGCATGGAAGCAGGTGGCCTCTGATCAGCTACCAGTAATGAAACATTCAGGTTACAAAGTATTTCAGCAAAAATTGCATAATGGACAATATTTTCAGGGGCCTGGAGGCTGAAAAACTACTTGTAAAGGAAGGGTCCTTCCACAAGGGGACACAGAAATTCCAGCAGCTGGCCAGACCTGTTCAGTAAATGAGCCCCTCAGACCAAGGACAGATATGAGCCCTCTCACACTGAGGGCCCACAATAATTAGGAGGGAATTTCCTGATCACACCAGCGGTGGTTGGAATGTCACAGAAGCACCCACAAGTCTCTAAGGTGGTGAGTATCTGGGCTGAATGCTGTCAGGAAATGTCTTCATCCCTCTTCCCCTTGCAGCTAAAAGTGAAAGTGGAAACAGAAATGTGAACAAAGACAGGTGTGGCCATGCTGGACCTTGGCTCACAGACGTGTGGGGGGTGCTGGCTGTGTGTCTGGGGGAGGACAAGCACAGAGAGGGGCACAGGAGAGGGGAGTTACCTTTGGAGTCTTCAGCACAAACTTGTGCTTCCCCTCATCTGTCCCCAGCTGTGCCTTCATCTCGAGCAGCTTTGCCACTTCCTTTGCAATCTGGGGGTGGAGAAGGAGGAGCTGGAGATAAGACCACCCACCAGCCCCAGCCCATGCCTTCCCCAGTACCTTCAACCCCAGCACTCCCAGCGCACCTGCACTCCACAGCCACAATACACCCACTGTTCCCAGTTTCTCAGCAACAAGAGGGACATTCCCTGCTTCCACTTCCCATTTCTCATACACGCACCCCTAGCTCAGCAACGCAAACACCCCCACCGTTCCCTGACTCCCACGACCTCCATTACCACTCACAGCTATCTCCCCATGCCTATCCCCACCACCACCAGCTCCTGCTACACGCACCGGCATCGGCTGCTCCAGCATCCTCCTCTACACCATCCTTCCCTTCAATCCAACACCGCTATCCCCGGTTCCCACCACGAGTCTCCTTTGCACCCTCAGCCCTTCCATTTCCCAGCGCAGCACTCCCACCCTTCCCGACCCCTCTTTTCCCAATGCCGCCAGCCCTGGCCCGGGAGCCCCCTCACACCGGAGCCCCCCTCACACACCGGGAG